TTGCTTCCTTATCCTACGTATTTGACATGGAAAGTACTTATATCCGGGATGGCTGCCACGAGAGCCAAACAGATTTCGACAAGATTTAGATCAAAGCAAACTCCCATGATTTGATACAATTACAAGGGAATGGAAAAAGAAAAGCCAGACATGTATACCAGATAATGTTTCTGTGATCTCCCACGTTGGTTGGGGAGGAGCACAAACCACCTTTCATAAGGGTGTGGAAACCTTTCCCTAGCAGACGCATTTTAAAGCCTTGAGGGACAGCCTGAAAGGGAAAGCCCAAAGAGGACAATATCTGCTAAATAGCGGTGGATCTAGGTCATTACAGTTTCTTCGGCCACACTGTTTGACTTTACTATCAGCTGGATTTTTCTTCAACACTACCCAAACAATCTTCAATAACGATGGACAACATAATCTATTCCACCTAGTATGAGATATGGGTATCATAAATAAGCAAACTGTGCCAGAACTAGAAGTTTTTCCTTTTGGTATATCTTTCCTTTCTGCATAATATCTAGATAGAGTAACGGGCTCATGCAATTTCTTATCTTTCTCCCAACCTAAACATAACTTAATTGGTTAAGACATATACTCTTGATTAAGACTTCAAAATCTCAAATTCTCGCACCTCACGTGTTATTAAACGCCTAAAAGAACTTCCTAAGAAGATAGCCGCCATCGGTTGCAATAACAACCGGAATCCATGTTATCATAGTTTATTCTAACCATCGCTTATCTATCTAGTGACTTTCTAATTCAAATTGGAATATTAGCATGCCTCAAAGCTCAACAACCAGTAACAAGAAGGAACATCAAACTGTACTCTCAAATCCTTGATACAAGAACGAAGATAAGAGACAACAAGCTAACCAGAGAACTAGAAATCGAGGACAGATTGAGAACTGTATATTCTCTCTCCGATTCTTACACCCATCAAAATATATAAATAATTTAACCTTATAGATGACATAAGAAATCGGGCTTGGATGAATGATCGGGTTATATAAGAGTGTACAATAAATGGAAAAATGAGATCCAAAAAATTAGGAAAATGCATTTCAAAAGCTAACTTCGATCCTATTTGGTTATTGAAACAAATTTGGCTAAATGACTACCACAAGGAAGTAGCTCCTCTCCCTATCGGGGCTTATGCACTCCACAACTTTCTTATGTCATGGGGTTGGGAATACTGAATTTAGCTGTCAACCCTAGTAAACACGTGAAAAACCTTTCTCCCCTTTTTCTAATAATCTCGCCCACTTTGAAGGGGCCTTGGCCTAGCTTACTAAGCACTAGGAGCATTACGATTTGCAGCTTAAATGGTACCTCATAAAATCTCTATCAGTCTTATTTTTATTGTGCGCCTTGTGAGCACGTTTGGATCCGCGAAGGCAATCGCTCCGATGTTCTCCTAACCCAACCGGGAACGGACTGGAGGGAATTTTTATAACTTCAAGAAGTGCATGCAGAAAAAAGTGACACTTCAGATTCCCGCAACGGCAAGTAAAACAACCTTTCGGGCTAGCAGAGATTTCACAAAATACTATGTCCACTACAAAGACAATTGCTTCTTAAATCTCCTATGATATCACCTTCAAACATTCTCTAAAAGAATTGATACCATAAAACATTCAATATCTGATCAAAGTAAAGTTTTTGTCATAACAAAACCAATGAATATTCAGCAGCTAGTGGATACAATGATCATTATAGAATCAATGAGCAAAACAAAGCATGCCCGATTAGACAATGTGAAGTTAAAGCACAATTTTCAATTTATATTTCTCTAAGATTGAAAGATATACCTTCTCACATATCAGATCCCACTCGATCAATCGCACTTACAATCCAACTTTTCTCTAGCAGCTCTTGCATTATCATACTCAAATTTCAAAACATTGCTTATGTGAGAAGTGTCCTTGATGTAAAACTTCCTGCCAAACTGGCTCTCCTCAATCGCCGGGAAGTAGCAGAAAAGCACAGAATTTACGACCCAGAACCACAGAGCTCCAAGGAACATTCCGAGCGTAGCACCAGCAAAAACCTGCGCAACACTATGGTATCCCAAATACACTCTCGAATACATCGTCAAGAGAGCCAGAGACCAAGCCAGTAGGTTCATTATCCACTTGCTTTCAGTCCCCCATAGTCCAATTCCTTTATACGACAATAAAGTGAAGTATATAGCGAAGAAAAACATATACTGAGAGTGACTAGAAGGCCAACCATGCGAATCACACATTTCCAATAACGCACAAGTCTCAGGGCGAGCTTGCTGAACAGACGTCTTGATGAACTCATTGATGAATTGAGAGATTAGGAGCCCTAGCGCGAAGAACATACCCTGTAATTCGCGGCGGAAGATGAAGTGAGAGAGAAATCCACCGAGGCTGATGAAAACAGGGACTAACGATACCCAAGCCAAGAAATGGCCGAGCTGATCTCCCCTCTGGTACCGGACATGCGTTAAGGACACCGCCTTAAGTGGTGCAGTCGCCATGTAAATGGAATATGGCTAAACTCCAAGATTGAATCAGAGGTTAATACGTGAGATCTGAGGAAAATCGGAATGATTTGATCGAATAGATCAGACGATTGTTCACGACAGAGAATCAAAGTGCGAAATTGGGATGAAAAATTGAAGTCCTGGATGGAGAAAGAAACTACGACCGAAATGAAAATTAAAAAAAACTATAATAATAACTTCATCTCAATCATATCCATTACTTTGTTTTCAAGAGTACTTGAATTTTCACCCAAAAAAATATCTTTTTAATTTTTGTACGGTATTTACCTTTTAATTTTCGATAATATTTCGAAATACCCTAAAAAAATTTATTATACCCTTTAATTTTTTTTTTTAATTTCACAAAAAATTTTAAAATTTTCGGATTATTTTTTAAATAGTTCGACGTTACTTTTATAAGAGTATTCATATTTTTTTTATTAAAAAACTAATAAAAATAATATTTTTAAAGTATGAAGGTATTATTAAATTTTTTTAAAGTCTAAAATATTTGAATATTTATATTAATTTAGTGTATAAAATAAATTAAATTTTTGGATTATTTTTTAAATAGTTCGACGTTACTTTTAAAATAAAGTATTAATATTTTTTTATATTAAAAAACTAATAAAAATAATATTTTTAAAGTATGAAGGTATTATTAAATTTTTTTTAAAGTCTAAAATATTTGAATATTTATATTAATTTAGTGTATAAAATAAATTATATATATTATGTCTCTATTATTTAAGTTTTGACTTTTTTCTCCTTATAATAAAATTTGGACGTGACATTGAACCATACTTTATAAATATAAATATAGTTCAACCATAACACGTAATAATTGTTAGACGAACACGGCTCTCCACTCTCCACAATGGTATGATATTGTCCACTTTGAGTATAAGCTTTCATGGCTTTGCTTTGGGATTCCTTTGGAGTCTTAGTCATTTTTTACTGCTTTCGAGGAGGCTTGACTCCTTCTTTCGAGGATTTGCCAATCTATTGGCACGGCTAAATTTAGAACACGACTCTCCACAATGGTATGATATTGTCCACTTTGAGCATAAACTCTCATGGCTTTGCTATGGGCTTCCACAAAAGGTCTCACACCAATGGAGAGTGTATTCTTAGATTATAAACCCACGACCATTCCATAAATTAACCAATGTGGACACTTTTATCCAACAATAATGTGACAGTTGTTTTAAAAGTACGATTGTCATTGAAATAACATTTTTAAATATGATCGTCAAAAAGTTTAAGTTTAAGTACTGTTTAATATTTTTTTAAAACTAAATATGTTTTATTTTAATATTTTTATTATATTTCATATTAAAAAAGACATTTAGATTTTTAATCAAATTAAAAAAATTACAAAACTAAAATTTAAAATTATATTTTAATTTTAAAATGCATTGTTGTAAAAAGTAAATAAAGAAAAAAGAAAAATTCATGGGTACAATAAATATTTATAAATTTAATTTTTAAAAAATAATTTAAAAAAAAGACAAAAAAAAAAAAGTCGTGTAATTATAAGGTATAAAAATGCAAATATGAGAAGTTTGGGTTGTTTTTGCAATTCTTTTGCCCTATAGGACGTTTAAAGATCGGAGGGGGCATTTTGCAATTTAGTAAAGAATAAGAAAAAGGAAGAAATGGATAAAACTGTGTATCGGAAAGTTGCTATGGCGAAACATGGTAAATAACCAATCTTCTGGGGAGACATTTATAATTTCGGCAATTTGCAAAAGCAAATAAATAGCGGCGACAATCGGATACTCGGCCCGCGAAAATTCCATTCGTACAATTACAATTGCGTCACAGTTCGATAAAGTTCCAATTTAGTTCTGCTCTGAGAACTCATTCCTTCAATGGCTGACGAGTGCTTGGCTTCTGCGAGAAGAGATCCAATCAAGTCTTCTGGTACGTTCTTGTACTCTATTGGCTATCTTTTTAAGGATTGATTGCTATATTTGAATTCATATTGATTTTTTGCTGCTATGAGTTCGAATGTGAAGAAGATTATTGATGCTGTTTCCGCCGACTGAATTTAGTGCTGTTGCGTTCGATATGTTAGCTTGTTTTTTGGATGATTAGTAAAGAAAGAGGAGATTAGAAGTTAATTTATATATAATCCATAAAGAATCAGTCCAGTAGGAGATGGTTTTTGATTTTGAAGAACTTTGTTAGTAACTAATGCTGAGAATGCATTTATATTCTGTTTATCAGTTGGGAATGTTGCGGCTCATCGAAGACGGCAGCATGCGCTTACAGTGGGGAAGGAAAGAAGAGAATCGTTGATGCGTGCGAAGCGTATCTGTAGAATTGGGATTGGTGATGTTGCTGTCGACAATGAAATGATGATGGACGAAGAGGTGTCAATTTTGGAAGTTCAAACTTCTTCAGCAGTGGACGAGCTAAAATCTGCAGTTGCATACCAGTACGTTGGTTTTTTCCTTTGTTTTATCCCCAGATTAAGGAAAAAAATTTCTCTCATGTTTCATATTTGAAAATCATACTTGGGTTACCTGTCATGCCACAACTATCTTAACTATCCAGTGGGAAGAATTGCTGTTGGATGAAGAAGTTGAGAGCCATGAGGTGCTATTAAGTAGTTTATTTTCGCTTACCTACTTGGTGATATTGGATTAATGTAATTAACCATCTAGTTTGTGTGCTTACCTTAACTAGATTATTGCTCCAGAGTTAAATTAAGTACGGCCACTATCTAGCTTTTTCTGAGGGTTCTAGTGTTTAAAAGCAAAACTATAGTATTTACACCATCCCTTGAAGGTGATGAGTGCGGTTTTGTTCCCAATACTTGTAATGGGCACCAAGATGGGGAATCATTTGTAATCTTGACCGGAGTCTCAGATATAGAAAGAATGAACTGAATTGTGGAAAGCACATCAAATTTTGTCTTACTTCCACATGCTGTTCATTTGTCTTAAGGAATAGTACAAAAACCTCTTATTGTCCCATAAGCCGTCAAAGATTTGGATAAGCAAAATGTTGGTTTGAAAAATTATTGGAGGTTGAAATGGACAGCATCGAGGATCGTTTTCATCCCCTTTGTTTTAGGTGAAGGGGAGATGGTTTGATCCTATGGTGAACAATAATGCAGTAAGTGATAAGCATTTCTTAATTCTGTTTGTGGTTTTTAAATGAACCATCCTCCACTACTGCTATTTAAATGACTGATGAATTAAAATGTTGATAAATTTGGTTTTAAGGTCTTGTTATTTTTTAAATTGTAGGGGAAAAGGTGCAATGCAGAAGAGAATTCATGCCCTTCGTGAGCTAAGACGCTTGTTGTCAAGATCAGAATTCCCCCCAGTTGAAGCCGCTCTTAAAGCAGGAGCAGTATCTCTGTTGGTGCAGTGTCTTTCATTCGGTTCCCCTGATGAGCAGGTCAGAAATAGCTTGTGCTTGTCTAAGATTGTGCTTTGATTGGTTTGAGTTAAGTGCACTATAGGTCCAACTCATTATGCTCGATATAGTTTTCTCACAAGGCTATGTCCAATCATGTCAAGTTAAAAAGGAAATGGAATAAGTGATTCTTTACTTGTATCCTGGACGTGGTCATTGTCGACGGGGTTTTTGGAATCTGGTTGTCGTTGAATATATGTTCATTGACTGTTGAACTTACATGGCCGATTCAGCATGGATTGCATGGATTATCTCTATTGGCCTTGTAAAGTACCGGATTGTTTGTAGACAAATATTTGTTTTTAAAAACTCTACTTCTATACTGCAGTTGCTTGAAGCAGCCTGGTGCCTAACGAACATTGGAGCTGGGAGGCCTGAGGAGACCAAATCTTTGTTGCCAGCGTTACCCTTGCTCATTGCTCATCTTGGAGGTTCACATTACCAATTATTTTCTTTTCCTATTTCTTATGAAAGCTGGCATCTCATATCTTGTTTCCAAATTATGGTTTTCAAATTAGCCGTTTATTTGATTCACTGTAATCTTCCTCTTACAATTACGTGCTGCAAGTATGTTCTCATTATTATGTATGATTATTAGCCCTGCCGTTATATGCATCTGATCACTGGTTGGCCAACTGCAACAGGCAGACTTAGTCTGTACTGGCTTGTGTAGTTTAATGTAGCCGAGGTAGTTTCTTAAATTTTGAATATTTACAATGCTATGAAAAATTGGGTTCATTCTTTGCTTTGTCTAGCTTTTATTTCATTTTGACTGTACTTTCTTGTGCAGAAAAAAGTTCTCTGCTTGTTGCAGAACAGTGTGCATGGGCATTGGGAAATGTTGCTGGTGAAGAAATGGAGTTAAGGAATATTCTGCTTTCTCAAGGAGCTTTACTGCCACTTGCAAGAATGCTGTTTCCAAACAAAGGTTCATCTGTTAAAACAGCTGCTTGGGCACTATCCAACTTAATTAAGGTTTTGTGTTTTCTATTACTAGCATTACAAGCCTTCTCTGTGCGCAACTACGTGAGGTCATTCACGAACTATGCCCTCTTCTGTTTTCTCATGTAGGGACCGGATTCCAGGGCTGCTACAGAACTCATTAAAATTGATGGGGTGTTGGATGCAATTATTAGACACTTGGGAAAAGCGTAAGTGTAGTTATCAATTTGGGGGTTCATATATTTTGATAAAAAAAAAAAAGGATTTAATATAATGATTGATTTGTCCCTCTTTTGTATCTCGACTTATTTTCTCTGTTGTTAAGCTGTCGCCGTGCAAAATGATACTGTATCTTCGATGGTTATCTACATTTCTGGAGGATAGTTATCACTAACCTAGGTAGAGATAAGATTTTGGAACATGCAAATTTCCCTTGCAATCATTATAATTGTCTAACTCGAGAAGATATCCTGTCCTCAAGACCTTGTTTATATAATATTAATACTGCTGCTATTTTGTTGTGGAATGTTTCTAAGATTGTTTAGATGGACAGGGGTTTAACTATATTCAAAATTACAAAGTGCAGGGATGATGAGTTGGCAACTGAAGTTGCATGGGTAATTGTGTATCTTTCAGCACTCTCAAATGTTGCTACCAGTATATTGGTGAAGAGCGAGGTTCTCCAACTACTTGTAGAAAGATTATCAACATCAAATAGTTTGCAATTGCTTATTCCGGTAATGTCAAACAATGTCTGTATTCTAAGATTCACTTTTCTGATTACAGGCTAATTTACCGTGCATTATCACGAGATGCCTAACGTACTTTCGTGAAGGTGTTAGTTATCTCCTTTTCTCTTTCAATGGCCTAACTTGAGTTGTCCACGACTCCCCCTTTCAAGCTTTTCTATCCTGATTAATTATGGTTGTAGTTTTAAATTAAAAAAAAAATTATGCTTGAAGTTTTGTGAGGCTATTATCAATGAGTCATAATTTGTATTGATTATGTAAGTAACATAGTTGCAGACGTTTTCCTTTCCGTTTGGTTCTTCTTTAGCATAGAAATGATGTAATTTGCCTGGATCAAGTTAATTGCCTGATGAGAGCTTTATAAATGATTCCATATGTTTCATGGTATGGCTACTAGGAGAATGCCTCCTTATGTTTTCCTCTTCTGAAAAAGATTTCGAAGCTGTAGTTGAATTGCTTATTGTTTTCAGATCCACTGTGTAGAGTATACATTAACACTGTCTTCTAGTTGGATATTCTTTGTAGCGATTCAATGTTTTTGATCAGTTATTTTGTGGGTTTTTGATTATCTGAAAAATGATGTCTTAAATAGGTGCTTCGAAGTTTGGGCAACCTTCTGGCTGTGGATTCACATACAATTTGTAATGTTCTCATTCCTGGACGTGAAATTACAGGCAAGTGGTTTGCCTTTTTCTCTTGCTAGGAGGGTATCACAATACTCAGACTCCAATGAACAACAAATGAGGAAATAATGATAGTGACTAGTGAGATTTGAATAGAATACAATTTTTTTTTTCAGGTAGTGTTTTAGAAGTCCTGATAAAATGCTTGAAAAGCGAACACCGAGTTTTGAAGAAGGTATATTTCACTACTTCGTAAAATATTACCATCTCCGCACAGTTTCTGGACTTTTGAGTTTCTTATCTGAATCCCTTCCTTAACGTGCAGGAAGCATCTTGGGTATTGTCTAACATTGCTGCGGGCTCGATGGAGCACAAGCAATTGATATATATTAGTGATGCAGTACCCTTGTTAATACGCCTTCTTTCATCAGCACCATTTGATGTACGAAAGGAAGTAGCATATGTACTGGGAAATCTCTGCGCTGCGCCTGATGAAAGTGGAGAAGGAAAACCAAAATTGCTTGTTGAGAACTTGGTTTCTCTTGTTGGCAAAGGATGCCTTCCGGGTTTCATTGACTTGGTAAGATCTGCTGACACGGAGGCTGCAAGGCTAGGATTTCAATTCTTGGAGCTGGTGAGTATATCTGATTGTTCATATACAGTGTTCAAATGGGTATTCTTCTAGTTTGTTATTTGTCACAATTGTTGGGCTTTGCTGGGTTAGAATTAGAAAGCATCTCTTCTTTCCCTCACGTAACTAAATCCTGTGTGTCACCTTTTTCTTCAAACTGAGGACGTTGACCGTCTCTTCGGGGCGGAGCTAGGAAAGAAGGGAAGCATTTGGCCCCATAGCTCGTCTCTTTTATATGTATTTCTTACTATTCTCTTAAGATGCATCTAGTTTGTGGCATCCGTTCAATTGGTGTCCTCGACTAGGTGGTTAGAGATTTGACTCCTCTCCTCTTTGTTTTGTTATGAACTTTTTACATAAGTTTTTGAAAATGAAAAAAAAAAAGTTTACAAAAACTTGGATAGAATTTGCAAAGAGAAATGATGAGAAGACAAACACGATTTTAAAAAACCGAATAGTTATCAAAGGCAGCGTTAATGTTGAAGAGGACTTCTAGAAAAGTCCTTGTTCTACTCCATAATGATCATGCATTTTCTTGTTGTCTGTCCAAAGGTATTAAGAGGCATGCCAAATGGGGAGGGCCCAAGGCTGGTTGAGCGGGAGGATGGCATAGAAGCGATGGAGAGATTTCAGTTTCATGAAAACGAAGACTTAAGAAATATGGCAAATCGTCTGGTCGACATGTACTTCGGCGAGGACTACGGTCTCGGTGAGTAGGAAATTCGTGGTTTTTAAGATTTAGGCTCACTATTTTCGTAATCACAATTACGTACTTGGTCATTATCAAGCGCTTTTCGCTCCATCTATCAGCTACTTTATGAAATCCATCATCCCAAGGAGGAAGATGGAATTGAGGTTTGTGTAATATCATCATTTTTTATTTGCAAGTTTTCTGATGAGCTTGACCAGAGCATGTCTTGAAAAGTGTTTATTAGGAGGGAAATGTTTGCAAAATTGTGTGTAGTTGACATGGGATTTTGAAGTCCCTTGTCATCTCAATTGAACTCTTCTTTTTTCACAATAAGTTATAGAACCGATGGTTTATGGATTCTTCTTGGATGAGGTATGTTAAATTTTGACTATACTATTTGAATTTTTAATTTTAGGATTTATATTTTATTTCGAATTTTAAGCTCAAAATTAGTTTTTAACTTACCGAGTATTATTAGGGTATCATTCAATTAGCTAAAAATCTTCGACCAAGGCTAAGAGGTTTTATAACAAAATGCTCGTTGTTAGCAGATATTGTCTCCAAATGTGTCACTTGAGAGAGTTTTTCGCACCCTTGTAAGAAATGTTTTGTTGCTCTCTCGGGATGTCACAGGTTTTGAATCAATTCATTTCATGTGTACTATAATAAAAAAAATTAATCGATTGATTGGTTTTGGATCTATTCACTTTACGTGTACTATTACATAATCTTTCTGTGACTAATAATGTAAAATTATAAAATGCAAAATTTAAAATGTAAAAATATATTAGATATTTAAGAGATTAATTTCACATAATTAAAGTATTAATTATAGTTAATTAAACCAGCAAATTACGGATAATTCAATTTTGTTGGAACCCTAATTTTGAATTCTTAGTAATTACAAACCTAATGTGCAAAAAAAAAAAAAAAAAAGAAGAAGAAGGAGAAGGGAGGGAAAGGTTTTAACTATGAAAGAGGAAGGGTATATTAAAATCCTTAGGGTTTTGGCGCCGACGATCAAATTCACGGCCCTGTTTTGCTAGGGTTTTGAAGCCGACGATCAAAAGGAGATAATCTAGGTCGGTAGCTGAATTTAGGGATTCAAGTTTCTGAAAGTTTAAAGGAGAACGCAGTATTCGTGAGAGACGCAGATTTGTTAGCCCATTGTAATGGAGAAGGGGGCTTCTTTCTTGTTCGCCGGCATTCATTTTGACAAGAAGAGGTTCGCCGCAGATTTCTCTAGGTTCGAGGTAAACGTCTGTAGCTGCGTTGTTGACTGTTTTATTATGAGAAAATTGAAGGATTCTGTGAGGTAATTCAACTTTGTCGTTTTAACAGGGCAAAAAAGAAAGTGATGATGTAATCGAAGGTTTGAGTAACATTGCTAATAGTGATTTCGAAGTAATTGAGGATTCAACGCATTCGGAGAAGAGGAAGAGGAAGAGGAAATCAGCGGCTACGGGTATATTGCCGAATGCTTTGAATTGCTTGTGGCCAATCGCGTCATTGTAAGCCGTTGAGCTTAGTTTTAACTCTTTTTTTTTTCCTTATGTAGAATCGGTGGAGGGGTTCAGCGTCTTCAAGGATTCAAAACTAACTGTAGCTGCTTCAGTGAATGAGGAAAATCATCCATCTGAAAACGATCCTTCCGAAGAGAGGAAGGAATTTCATCGGAAGCTTGAGGTACTAATTACTTCTTTTGTACTTCCATTGTTTCTTTTTGTGAAGTTTGGTTTTAACTTATGTACCACTTGGTCTCTGTCCATCGTTCATTCCATATTTCTTCGATGAACATAGAGAGATGCGCTTTTCCGGAAGAAGTATAACATTCATGTCTCTGGGAACAATGTTCCATCGCCACTTCAGAATTTTGCAGAGTTGAGCACAAGGTACTAAATTCTATACTAGCTGGATGTTTTTCTGTGTTCATACGTCATGATGATTTTTTTTTTTAGCAATTCTAAATATCTTTTCCCCTTATAGGTTCTGATAAGTATGACTGAAGAATGATAATTATATGCTTTGCTTGCAGATATGAGTGCGACCCATACATACTGCATAATCTTGTAGAACTTGGGTTTAAAGAGCCAACACCAATTCAAAGGCAGGCTATTCCAGTCCTCTTATCCGTATGATCTTCCATTACTATCTTACTGTGTGCAGTAAACTTCATCTTTCATGTGTTGTGTTCTAATGTATTGAGAATAAGATAGGATCTATTGTTGTGACCTGACAAGAACTGGGTATTTAGGTCGACTATTTTGGTATACTGTTTGGTTTTAGTTTTTTTTTTTTTTTTTTTTTTTTTTTTTTTCTGATCAACGTTTTCCTTTATAGGGCCGTGAATGCTTTGCTTGTGCCCCTACTGGTTCTGGAAAAACCCTGGCTTTTCTGTGCCCTGTGCTTATGAAACTGAAGGTATAGTCTTTTAAGTGCAATTTTTATATTTCTTGAATGGTGTTCTGTTCTAATCTTAGTTTTTTTTTTTTTTTTTTTTTTTCTGATCAACGTTTTCCTTTATAGGGCCGTGAATGCTTTGCTTGTGCCCCTACTGGTTCTGGAAAAACCCTGGCTTTTCTGTGCCCTGTGCTTATGAAACTGAAGGTATAGTCTTTTAAGTGCAATTTTTATATTTCTTGAATGGTGTTCTGTTCTAATCTTAGTTTTTTTTTTTTTTTTTTTTTTTTACCAGGATCCATCAAAGGAAGGCATCCGTGCAGTTATACTTTGTCCAACACGAGAATTAGCATCTCAGACAACAAGGGAGTGCAAAAAATTGGCGAAAGGGAAAAAATTCTCTATCAAGTTGGTTACAAAAGAAGTTATTAGACATGCTGATTTCTCAAAGTTCTCATGTGATGTACTCATATCCACTCCACTTAGGTTAAGACTTGCTATTCGGAAAAAGAAAATTGACCTCTGTAGGTAGGTGTTGACTAGGGGTATCAGCATGTTGTCAATACAAGACCAGCCTAAATATAACTCATCTCCTCATACAGGGTTCGTTGTTTTTCAGGGTGGAGCACCTTGTTCTGGACGAATCTGATAAGTTATTTGAGCTTGGCTTGTTAAAACAGATCGACACCATTGTAAAAGCATGCTCCAATCCTTCAATAGTTCGCTCATTGTTTAGTGCTACTTTACCTGACTTTGTTGAGGATCTTGCTCGCTCAGTAATGCATGATGCTGTTCGGGTTATTGTTGGTAGGAAGTAAGTTCGCTACTATCATGCTCATCCTGAGATCATCGATTCACACGATATACTTCTATGTTTTGAGAAAATTACTCATCCCATATTTCTGATACGTCATTAGGAATACCGCCTCTGAAACCGTCAAGCAAAAGTTGGTTTTTGCCGGAAGTGAAGAAGGGAAACTTCTTGCACTTCGTCAAAGTTTTTCAGAGGTTCGTTACATGTAAATTGTAGTATTGAACTTTTTCTTTGAGTAGAAAGTGAAGAGCTTATCTTTTATCATGAACAAAAATCCTTTTTAGCATTCATTCATTGCATGAAATGTCAGCTTGGATCTAATTCCTGTATCTAGTAGTATACTTATCTGACATCTTTTGACAGTATTTGTTATTTTGATCTTACTAGACAATGCATTGACTTTGTTGCTTTTGTGCTTAACAGAGTTTGAATCCACCAGTACTGATCTTTGTGCAAAGCAAGGAGCGGGCAAAAGATCTTTATGGTGAACTGGCATTTGAGAATATCAAAGTGAATGTCATCCATTCTGACTTATCAGAGATAGAGGTAATCAATTCATCATCATCTGCTAAAATTTAATATTTCATGGCAGTTAAAAGTTGGTCAAAATGCCAAGCATACTACTCGTGCAATTCTAGATTGGAGTCCGAAACAATAACAATGTGTAACAGCTTTAAATCCTTAATAACCTTTCGTGAAGCCATATAATGAAGAACACGATATTAATCGTTGTACTCCTATGTGGGGCCTTGCACTCCTAAAAGATAGAACATAAAACAAAATGCCATAAAGTTTTTTGTTCTTACCTCTTTTATTGTTCTAGACCTGAGTTTGTTTAGTGAGCAATTGCTGAAAATATGAACTTTCTGCTAATTTTTATTTATTCATCACTTATTATGTAATTATAAGGGGTCTATACAAGGGAACTACCATAGGATGGCCTAGTGATAAAATTGGGCAATGTAAATAATAAAGGGCTTAGTGAGAATGAGTTCAACTCATGGTAGCCACCTATCTAATATCTTACTAATGACCTTTGCAACCAAATATAGTATGGTCAAGTTATTTTCCCGTGAGAATAGTTTAGGTGCGCGTAAGCTGATCTAGACACTCATTGTGATGTCCCACATTGGTTGGGGAGGAGAACAAACCACCATTTATAAGGGCGTGGAAACTTTCCTCTAGCAGACGCGTTTTAAAGCCCAAAAGGGAAAGTCCAAAAAGGACAATATCTGCTAGCGGTGGATTTGGACCGTTACAATGGTATCAGAGCCGGACATTGGACGATGTGCCAGTAAGGACGCTGGTCCCAAAGGGGGGTGGATTTGGGGGCGGTCCCACATTGATTGGAGGAAAGAAAGAGTGCCAGCAAGGACGCTGGGCCCCGAAGGGGGGTGGATTGTGATGTCGCACATTGATTGGGGAGGAGAACAAACCACCATTTATAAGGGTGTGGAAACCTTCCTCTAGCAGACGCGTTTTAAAGCCCAAAAGGGAAAGCCCAAAGAGGACAATATCTGCTAGCGGTGGATTTAGGTCGTTACACTCATAGAGGTAAACAAAAATCTATTCGAGGGACACATGGACTAGAAATGTTTCTAGTCTTTCTATGTCTGATATTCTTTCTTGAATGCAGCGGGAAAATGTTGTTTACGACTTCAGAGCTGGAAAAACTTGGGTGTTAATTGCCACTGATGTAATTGCTCGAGGAATGGATTTCAAAGGGGTTAACTGTGTAATCAATTATGACTTTCCAGATTCTGCCTCTGCATACATTCACCGGATTGGTATGTTCCTTAACATTCTTCAGCTTACTTGACAATGAACCTTGTGTTTAATCCTTAAAAAAATGTTGAAAGATTCATACTCTATATGATGTGGCTGAGCCTAATTTGCATCTTTCAACAGGCCGTTCTGGCAGAGCAGGGAGGAGTGGAGAAGCCATTACATTTTATACAGACGAGGACATTCCATTTCTGCGAAATATTGCCAATGTGATGTCAGCTTCAGGCTGTGAAGTTCCATCCTGGATAACTGAGCTTCAGAAAAAGAAGTGGAAAAAACATAGGCCGAAAAGAGATTCAATCTCAAACAAACCAAAGGATGATGGTGACACCGAGCAGCCGAAAAAGAAGTCGAAAAAACGCCGGCCTAAAAGAGACTCAATTGTGACCAAACCAAAGGGCGATGGTGACTCCGAGCTGCAGAAAAAGAAGTCGAAAAAACACAGGCTTGAAGGAGATTCAATCCAAAACAAACCAAAGGACGAAGGTGACACCGAGCAGCAGAAAAAGAAGTCGAAAAAATGCAAGCTTAAAAGAGATTCAATCTCCAACCAAACCAAAGGATGATGGTGTCTCCAAACCACAGAAAAAGAAGTCGAAAAAAACAGAGGAGGCCTGAAAGAGATTCAATCTCAACCAAACCGAAGGACGAAGGTGAAGCCTAATTTAAAATTGCTACCTCTAATCTATTTCACTTCCCAAAACTTAAAATAAAATATGCCTTTAGGAAGTTTTTGTCCAATGATGTGAAAATATGTCGATTACATCTAAATTTGTCTCTTAAAAGGTGAGCTGCAACTCAAATGTAATAGATAATCTTATTTGAAGAATTTGATCATTTGTACATGGTCGACTTAAAAACTCCATTGATATTCTTTTGGAAGGAATTTTAGGATTTTTGTGTATTTGAATTTTGAATGTGATTTTTCTTTGCTAGTTCCATGGACGTAAATTCTTATACCACCTTGGTTAGAGTGACTACAATATCTTCAATTTGTAATTTAACCGAAAAGAAAGTTGAAAGTTTAACGATCATATATAAACAAGCTTGAAAAAATTAGAGGCTAAACTTATAATTTGTCGAGAGAATGATTGTGCAATCCTATGCACACCCGAACATAAAAATTGTGTGATGTGATGCAAGGTACTTCTAAGAATCTACTTGAATAATTATTCCTATGATATAATCTAATCAAAAGACTCCATCTGTATTGGATCACAGCTATCATCTAAAATTTGCAACATCAACTCCTCTAGCATTCTGTATATTCTACCTCTCTCAGGATGCAAGCTATCTTCAGCAAGAAACACATGAACTCTATCCTTGATCTCAATCCAGCTCTGACCTGGAACTTTGCTGACATCCATCTGTCTCATCGAGCTCCTCAATTGAGCAAGATCGTTCCAATGGCCCGAAGAAGCATGTATATTACAAAGCATCACAAGTGCCGCAGAGTTGGATGGATCGGTTTTCAATACCTTCTCTGCAGCTCTTTTGCCAACCTCGAGATTGCCATGGACTTTACATGCTGCTAGCAGAGTCTTCCAGACGACAATGTCGGGATCGAAAGGCATTTGGTTGATAAAATCCTCTGCTTCATCCAAGCATCCAGCACGGGCGAGCAAGTCGACCATACACGAACAGTGTTCTCTAGTTGGTGCAATGCCATCTTCCTCTTGCATTGTCCTGTATAACTTCAAACCTTCTTCCACCATTCCAATATGACTGCAGGCAGTAAGGAAACCAACAAATGTAATTTCATTAGGCTTTACACCAAGGCCTCTCATGGTTCTGAAAAGTTTGAAAGCTTCTTCACCACATCCAGCCTGAGCATATCCAACAATCAAGCTACTCCATGAAATGATATCCGGATTTTCAATTGAGTCGAATATTTTTCGAGCACTTCCAAGGGATCCACACTTCATATACATGTTGATTAACGCATTTGAAACAGAAGTATCAAGATTCAGCCCTGATTTCATGATTAAGCAATGAACTTGACTTCCCACTTCATAAGATGCTATTTGTCCAGATGACACCAATACATTCGTCAAAGTAACATGGTCAGGCTTAATGTGAGAAACAAGCATTGTCTTCGTTAATCTTAAAACCTCACCAGCTTGGTTGTGATGGAGGCATGCCATAAGCATGGTGTTCCAAGAAACTATATCCGCTTTATTTCCTATATCTTCAAATATTTGAAGTGCATCATTCAAATTTGAACATTTTGAATACATGCTAAGTAAACTGTTGCACACAGGAATCTCTGAATCAAAACCCATCTGGACAATGTAGGAATGAACCTGCATTCCCTGATAAAGCATCACAGGCTCTGAACAAGCACAAAGTAAAGAGAGGACTGTGACATCATTTGGAGCAAGCCCTGTTATCCTCATCTGAGAAAATAAAGACGTGGATTCCTTTACATCACCAACACTGGCAAATCCTGCAATAATAGCATTCCAGGCTACTAAATCAGGCTTTTCAATCTGATTAAACACAGTTCTTGCAGATCTTAGAAATCCACACTTCGCATACATGTCACAGAGGGAGCATCCGGCAAAAGCATCGCTTCCTAATCCAAATTTTATACACAAGCCATGTATTTGGCGTCCATAATTTGGTTCTAAGAGCTTGGTACAAGCACTAAAGGCACTACCAAAGATGAACTCATTTGGTTGGTAGACAGGCTGAGAAAGCATTTCCCTGAAAAGAAATAAAGCTTCGAGCTCATAACCAAACCGGGAAAACCCTGCAATCATTGAGCTCCAGGAAATTAGATCCTTTGTAATAATATGAGAGAAGACATTTATTGCATCAGCAATTTGATTGTACTTGGTATACATTGAGATTAGAGCATTCTGTGCGATTAGGTGGCCACCAAATTCCGACTTCAGAACATGGGCATGTAGTTGTCTCGCTAACATAGAATCATCAAGTCCTGAGCAAGATTTTAGTACACTTCCAAAGGTAAAGTGATCAGGAGTACATCCTGATCTGAACATTTGAACATACAATGTAATGGCATTATCTTCTTGTCCATAATGCGAGTACCCCGATATCATGGAGGTCCAAGATACCACGTTCTTCAGGGGCATTGCATCAAAAACATTTCTAGCTTCCTTCAAAGACCCGCACTTCCCGTACATATTAAGAATATGATTCTGAAGTATCATATCAGGCTGGTAGTTAAATGTCGTCATATGACGATGAATTTTCCTGCCATGTTCTAGGAATCTTAGAGAACAGCAAGTGTTGATCAAATGGGTATAAGTTATAGAATTCAATGGGGAATTTGAACACTTCTGAAAGGTTTCAAATGCTTGAAGAGCCTCTCTGTTTAACCATTTTTTGCAGAGAGAAATTATATAATCATCATAAGATTGTTCAGAAACAGGGGAGGGAGAAAAGGCAAGCTGGGTGTTGGGTCGTGTATGAGAGAATGCTAATTGCAGTCGAGGTTTGAAGTTCTTTAATGAGGTAGCTGAACAACAAGGGTTGAAGAAAATAATAGCTTCTGAAGAGAAGGTTTCAAAATATATAGAATTTAAGGCTCTTAAAAATGCCATTCTCTTAATCTATTCTAATGCCATTCTTAAAGAAACTGCAGAAAACAGCACACGAGGTTTCAACTTATCCATCCCCTGCAACTGCAAGAATCAACTTCCACATGGAGATTTCAATCGTGTTAGATTTCCACTACTATCTCTGGTACGAATTGGAGTCTGATTGCATAGGACACAGTCAGAAACCATGGGGTGCAAGAAATTGAACAAATGAGGCAGTGCCAAGGCCAGACATTCAAATCTATCAAGTGAAACCAGAACTTCCATTCAAATTTCTACATTCTAGTTTCACATTAGAAAACACCTTGTACCTCAAACGCGTACAGCTCCAGTTCCACACCCAACTATTTTACAGTGTCACTGTTCACGTCGAAATATGCTAGCAATATCTCTCAGCGGACATTCTTCGAGCACCTAGCGTACAACAATTCAACATCCATAAAAGTACAGAATCATCACAAATATTCATACATTACAAAATTTCTTTGAAGCACAATACCGAAAACAATATTGAGTCCAAAAAGCCTACCTGAAGAAGATACGTTTGGAGTTTCTATCCCACAGTGGAATGATGAAAGAAAAAGACTTCAAGACGCATAAACGAACAGGTGGACAAGTTCATCGCCGATATCAGTATCAGAATGCGAAAACAAGGTCCAATAAATTAGAATTTAGAGACAAAGCCATTATCGAAGGATAAGTCCTGTAGAAGAAGAAGAAATGGAAATTCCCAGCAAATGAAAGAACGTGTCTTGGGTAGGAAAGTTTCTAAATCTTTGCGGTTTCGAACTGGCAATCAGCTGAATAAAGAGTGAAGGAATCAAAACTCTGCAGAAGAGGGAAACTCCATTAAAGGTCTGAGTTTTGTTCATTTTCGGCTCTCTTTGATTCTAACAGAAGGGCATGGTGATTTTGAACTCTGGTATGGCCCTTGTGGGTAGTTCCGTAATCTTCGGAATTATTATAGGGAGGTAGCAACGTTAATAAATTTCCCAAAATTATACTTAAATTACTAAAATGTATCATTTAGTTGCGTATTATGTCACTTTAAACTTAGCCAAACCTGCTTAAATCTATAAAGATTTGTACTCTCCATTGAAATTTTGTCCAAATGTTACAAATTTAGTAAACCCATATCATCTCTCCACATTTGCCTTCAATAGTTCCATTCTTTGGAACCCGCAGAGATGGGGTCGAACTTCCTCTGTCCAACACACTTCTCAGGTATATTAAACCACTCTTCCCCATTTTTTTAAATAAAAATATTTGTTCAATTACTCTCTAAATTAAATAATTTATTCAACATTTTTCTTAATTCGTAGACTTATTAAATCCACATTTGCCTATCTTTTCTCAACCGTTTTTTTTTATTACTAATTGTTTTAGGTTATGGCTCTTTGATGTAGATGTGAGTGAGTCATCTTAATTAATAATAATAATAATAAATAAATAAATAAATAAAAGAACATGAGAAGAAAGGGAATGCACATCCCCCATCTCCATACCTCTTGGAAAAGAGATATTTTTGTTAATAATTAAAAATTTAGTTTTATTAGACTTGAATTTTTAGTTATATTCCTTTCTACCGTCTGTGATAAGTTTGGACAATTATTTGAACTCTGCTAAATGTAGATTACAAATGAAGAGTGTGAATTAACCCAACCATACCCCAAATGATCAGTAAAAGGGTGGTATCCCCTTGGTTTTAAAAGGTCATGTCATGTTCACTCAAGCCTTGGCTTAACATTTTAGCAAATTCTTCAGGACATAATTCAAACATACACCCAATGATATTCTGTAATGGGGGCAGAAGACAGGGCAGAATCCACAAAACTCTGTTATGCTGTATTTACTAGCTAAAGATAAACAAAATCAAAATCCAAATCAATGGTTTTGAAGAGCAGAAAGAAACTGGGAAGCATCTCATTCTGATCTTAACAAAGGTCGAACACCGTACCCTTTGATTCTTACTGGCAGAATCTGATACGTTCCTTTAAAAGGGAGGGGAAGAGTCAGAGCCAGAAAGAAGTGGAAGTGAAAAATGTGGCTAACCTACAAGCTTCACCATACTATTGTTTGTTCCCCATGAAAATGGAAGGAAGAAAAGACTATTTTTTGTGTGGTTTCAAGTTCTTTGAGATTTGTTTTCTATGGGCTGATTTTTTCTTGAATAATTTGCGATTATAACATCTGGGTGTTGTGATATTCTGACTGAAACTCTCTGATTTGACCAGTTGAACTTCATAACTTTGCATATTTTCAAGGTAACTTTGCTGATATCTTAAGGATATGTTCGAAAAGCTATAAGGGTATTAAACAGAGAAATCTAACCATCTTCCCCACCAAGCTTTATTTGGCTTTAGTTTGATGGGATTTTATACACTTCTCTTAACTGAACTGAAGTATTTATAGGGTGTTGGAAGTGAAGTTCAATCTCTTCTATGTCATTGTAGTTGCATGTTTTTTTTCTCTTTATAATATCTTCTTCATATTGTCATTGTTCCCTGAAGAACACTGTTAGAACAATCATAGAGGGATGGGAAGGAAAGGAAATTGGTTTAAAACTTTGAAGAAAGCTCTCAGCCCCAGCTCCAAAAGGAAGAAAGACCAGGTTTGTAACTTTACATTTTGCTTATATACTGACTAGATGGGAAATTTCACCTTCTTTTGAATTTTCTAATATTTTTCCGATTTGCAGAAGACTAAATTGTCTGGAAAACAAAAACACCCCAGTGTATGTTCTACTCCTACATTGACTATTGCAAATCAGATAACTCAGCAAGAAAAGGTAAAATCGACCTGTGAGGTGAATGAAGACCACTGCAAAGCTCATTCTGTTCCAATTTCGAATTCCACGGGCATGGCTTCTACAGCCGGCACACAGGTTGTCCAGACCACTACTGTGACTCAATTCACCAGAAAATCTAGAGAGGAAACGGCAGCAATCAAGATTCAATCAGTTTTTCGTGGATATCTGGTGTGAACTCATTCTTGCAATTATCTCATTAATTTATCAAATACCATTTCCTGGTTTCCATTTTTTTACCTCACGTCAATTTCATCATGTTAATGGAGAAACTCAAAATAGTTTTTCTAATAATTTTGAGCTCAACAGTTCAAATGAAACTATCCAAATTACCCAAAATTCAAAGATATTGTGTAGAATTTAACCGTTTCAAAGGTTGAAATTTATAATTCAACTTTCTTTCTAAAGACTTCAGTTGATAATCTTGACAAACAAGTAGTAAAAGCAATTCAATACCCTCACCTCTAAAATCTAATACTATGCTAAATGACCACTCAACCAAAAAAAATTTGGTTAATGGGTTATTTGTAAATTTAATATTTTATCTAATACTTAAAAACTCTCCTCATTTGTAGGCTAGAAATTGAAATTTGCATAAAGTACAACAGTTTGGTACCTAAGACCATGTTTGCAATATCATATTAATCACCACATAACCCAAGAGATTAGTGGGTTATAGTAAATTTAATTTTTTTTTTATCTCAGGCAAGATCAGAAATACGAACCTTAAGAGGGCTGTTGAGATTGAAATTATTGATGGAGAGTTCAGTTCTGAATCGTCAAGCCATGAACACCATCCGGTGTATGCAAGTTTTTGTCCGTGTCCATTCCCAGATCCGGTCAAGAAGGTTGAGGAAGCTGGAGGAAAATCAGGCTCTCCAGAAACAACTCCTACAAAAACATACAAAAGAACAAGAGAATTCTCAGGTCTTCATTATCACTTACCACTATTGCTCAACTATTTTATGTTTGAGATGCATTACTTGTTCTATAATCCGGCAGTGAGATTGGTTTTGGTCTACTCTCTCTCAACATTTTCCCTAAATATCAATGACCAAAAACGAGCAATTCTCATGCTTTAGCTACTTTCCTAATCAGCTTCATTCTTTAAGTGTCATTTAAAAATTGAAACATGAACAGGTTGGGAAAGGGTGGAACGACAGCACACAATCAAAAGAACAAGTTGAGGCTAAACTACTAGGCAAGCATCAAGCAGCTATGAGAAGAGAGAGAGCGTTGGCTTATGCCTTTTCTCGACAGGTGATTTATTGACTATGCCATCTAATAGAATTATGCATTTGATCTACCAAGAGCAAGAGAGAAGTGATCTAAAATATTTGGCACTAAGTTGTAGTAAGGATTTCTTTTTTCTTTTTTAATCAGGATATCTGGGCTCACCCCTTACATTATTCTCATGGTCCACCATACTAATATCTGGAGAGGCTTCACTCATTCCAAAGCCGGTTCTGAAAAACAATAAAAAAATTTAGTTCTTAAATTTTCAATTTAGAGGACCGAAAGTAAGAGTTTGGAGGGTACCTCTAAGCATCTCTTCTGTTACCACGAACCCAAAGGCACCCTTTGGGGTGATAGTTATAGTAACACATCGAACGAATAAATATCAACTCGTCTAAGTTATCATCATTTGGTCGTCTTTCCATTAGTTCTTTGTTCTTCTTGTAGTTTGCTTGTTGCCAATTTTCTTATAGTTTGCTTTCAAATCCTTTTTAACATAGACGTTAAACATAAAAGCTAAAGGAACATTATTCCTATCATTTATGGTTATGTATTAAGACATTAAAAGAAAACATACAGAGCTCAAATATGGAGAGATTCTTCAAGGTTTCATCTGAACTCTTTCAACAGAAAATCTGGAGAAATTCTTCGAGGTCAACAAATCCACTATTCACAGATCCGAACAATCCCACCTGGGGATGGAGCTGGTTGGAGAGATGGATGGCAGCTCAACAATGGGGGGATGCGAGCTCTGGTAATGTTTGTGGAGAAATTAATAAAGCCGATGCTCAATCCAAACAGAGCTCGGAGATAAATTCGCCAACAGTAAGCCGATCTGGAAGCCGTAGATATACATTCCAGCCCCTCACGATTCATTCCAGACGTAGATCAGTTGCAGAGGCGAATCAACTGAAGCCATCAAGCACACGAAAGAGCTCAGTTCCAGATGATTCTCTCCAAGCTAATGTTCAATTTGAACTGAGCTCGGAGGCGAATTCGTCAACAGCAAGCCGATCCGAGAGCCGCAGATATACTTTCCAGTCCTTCTCAACTTCTTCCAGACAAAGTTCAGTCGCAGAGCCAAAGAAATCGAAATCATCAACCATAAAAAAGAACTCGGTTCCAGAAATTGAAGGATTCCAGCTGACCTCGAAGGCAAATTCGCTAACAGCAAGTCGATCCGAGAGCCACAGATATACCTTCCCGTCCCTCTCAACTCCTTCTCCGCGAAGATCAGTCGCAGAGGCAATGAAATCAAAGCAATTAGGCGCCAGAAATAGCACGATTCCAGATGATGACAGCAAGAGCCTGGCAAGTATAAAATCAAACAATGGAGGACCTCGATCATCCGTATGGGACGAAGAAAGCCAAAACAGTTCACAAAATCTTCCGAGTTACATGACGTTCACCGCATCGGCAAGAGCCAAATCGAAGCTTCATACTCCATTCGAGTCGGAGAAGAATGGAGCTCGAGAAATAACGTCGTTTAGTTCATCTGCTAAGAAACAACTCTTGTATCCGCCATCTCCGGCCGGGTCGAGGCGCTATTCCAACCGTCTGAAGGTGGATATAGCGGCTTGAATGAAGAGAATAACAGAAGCAAAGGGAACATTGTATGAATTTTGATCGAAGAAAAAGTGGTACGTCAATGGCGGGAAAGCACTGAAATCAGCACCTTTCTTTCTTACACAGTTCAGCAATAATTCGTTCGTTAATTGCTTTAATAAGGTCTAAATTTGAATTTGGTGGTTTTTTATTTATTTTTTTATTTTTTATTTTTTATTTCTAGGAAATGCAATCGTTTTCTTCTTGAGTAGTGGCCGTTAATAAATAATAATATGTTCTCTTTTTTTATTTTTTATTTTCTTATATTTGTAATTTGCTATTGAAAATATTTGTTCAATCCACCACACTTAAATAGCGTAGCAAATAAATTACAAGGATATGAAAAGAGTAATAAATGGAAATATACTCATGACAGAGAGGCAAATAACTAGGTTATTTGCTTTCCAATAAAATATCAAATATGATATATAAGGTAAACTATAATTGAGTACTAAATATCCTTAACAGCTATGTATATTTATTTTAAAAAAATGATTGATGTATTTTAAGAATAAAGGTAACTAAATATTTTAAAAAATGTATAAAATCTCTTGTAATTTATTTTCGGTTAAAACACTTATTATATACCAAATTAAAAATTAAAAATTAAAAAACTTATTAAATTCTATTAATAATTTAAGAACTAAATCAAAGATTAAACTCTCAGTAAAGAACAAATTAGCTATCATTGAAAAATAAGACAAAAGGTTGATATGTGTAGGCTAAAAATGTTGGCAAAATAAACCAATTATGAAGGGTGAGAGACTAATTGAAGCTTAAATGAGTAGTAGAGCCATAAAAGCCAAAAGCACCTAAAAAGAAGCTTGGCCTCATGAATTGCTGTTAAAATATAATAAAAGTAGAGTAATGTAATGTAATGAAGCAACGGTGATAAAATTACACACCCTTGTCCAAAAAGTGAACACAAATGAAGAAGAGCATGATATCGATGTTGATATCAATATGGCATTTACATCATCAGCATTTGGAAGGCAAAATCATCGCGTTACTATTAGCTGTATTTCGAGACGACGACGACGACGTATCATTTTACGGTAAGATCTATAGTACTCGCTATCTCTCCTCCTGTATTTCCTTCTAAAGGAGAAGCTTCCGTTCTTTCCCTTCTGTCAACTGGCCCCTTGGGAGGTCCAAAAATGGTGGAAAATATCTGTCGATGACATTCATCACAAAAATAGAGATACGAGAAGTGTCCTTCATTTGAGAGCTTATGCAATATGGCTGCTGGTAAAATGCGGCCTATGTAATCAGTCATCGATCGTGGAACTACCTTATCATCTATTCCCTGTTCAACATGACCAAAGTTTATATTAGAAAGACGAGTCGAGAATTTTAACACCGGCTGAAGTCTCTTTGATTGTCATATCATCATATCATCATATCACCATACGCTATATAAAAAGTACATTCCAAGACGCGAGACTTCCTTTCACCCATCTAGCAACATAAGAGTTGGAAAATTCATGCATCACATGTATCTAGGTAGATCATCAACATTACTATAATTATTATTATTTGGGAGTTCAACAAGAGGGAATCGAACTACTAATATCAACATCGAAGGCATCAGCTTAAACCAATTGAAGTATGTTCAAGTTGACTATGCATCTATGTGTATTAGTATATATGATGTGCGTGCTAGTGGATGTCGTGGGAAAAAGGATAAGAGTTCCAAATAAACGTTCATAATCTTCCCATGGCAATTAGAACAAATAAGTCCAATTTAGGCAGTTAGCATAAGATTTTGTATGATGTCATGTGAGGAAAAGAGAAGTGGCCTGACCTGCCATATATGAATCGGACCAACAAATCCGGCCAACTCACATTCTTCTTGACTGTACAATGATTTGAGCCAAGGAAGAATGCCTGTTCTTTGACACTTTCTCTGCACCCTAAGATCTGCCAAGCTAAAGCCCCAATTTGACACAAGTAGCATGGTTTCTTCTACAAATGGTTTGACATTTTTCTGGCGGATTGACTCTTCCACGTTCCTGTACCAAAATTCCCTAAACTTTGGATCTTCTATCAAAACTTCGTCCTGAAAATGTGAAGATTGTGAGTTGTATTAGGATCGCATACACTCGATCAAGATGAACACAAAGAACAGGAGAGAGAAAATGCAAGGAGGAATAGTGGCTAAAGAATTTGTATCGATGACTTCAAGTATAAGATACCATGTGATCGGGTGCACGAATGTAAGTTACGTAGCTATTGAACCAAAAAATCCACCAACTCACCTTCTTTCCCAGTGATAGGGATAACTGTCTATCAATTTCTTCATGCCTTCCTGACAAAAAACTTCGGCGATAGAAGTAGGATAGAAATCTAGGAAATCTACGAGCTAAGAAATATAGAAATCTCTTCCGTGGACCCCAACTTTCCCAAGTTCTTCTCAACTCTTCCCTAGTCATGCTTTTTTCGTAAGGATTGATCATTGGAGCTACCATGACTGCACCTGTAAATTCAAAAATATTCATTAAACTTCCAAAGTAAATGCATATTTAGTTTATGTTTAATCAATGACAGAATACAATTCATTCTAATAACCAGCGGATACAAGCAAGTCTAACTTTCTATGTTACTGAAATGGAAGATCTATTAATTCTTTCAACGTACTATCAATCAACAATTTTTTAGGTTCTGCGTGATACAGAAAGCACCGTACCCGAAAGGATACAAAAATCTCTGAAGGAGCATAGTGGCCCCAAAGAGTACGACATTGAGGAACTAGGTGAGAAGTACCTACTCATATATTGAGTTGTCTGCCAACTTTGTTTTGAGAGGCCCATAAAAACAAAGCTCTTATTCCTTTATGGGGAACAAAGCATGCAAAATACACTCGTTTTTGTAACTTCTATAATCATATGTTCTTGGATATCTAATTTTCACCGGTAGATAAGATACTAAGCTTGCAAATATCATAAGATTCATAGTATCACACAGTACAGTCTCTCCAAACTAATAAAATTTATACGTACATTCTTACACACCTGCAATTCTGTCTGGGATATATCGAAGTGCAGCCCAAGCATGCATGGCTCCTTCCGAGTAGCCAAGCACCCAGAATTTTCCATTAATACTAACAGCATCAGCTAGGTGCAGCATATCTAGTGCTGATGAATTCAGGTTCCTGTTGGGATGAGGATCACTCTCCCCAAAACCAGGAAGATCATACGCAACCAAGCAAATACCAAATTCTTCGAGCAAAGACGATTTCACTCCCGGTATACCTGCCATAGAAATAGATGCTATAATGTTAATTCCACAACAATCTTCCCAAGAGTTAGGAATGTCCAACTTTTGTGATTCAAGAATTGCATTTCAAATAATTCAAGAGTCTAAAGATATTCTAATTTATAATATTTACCTGCAAATCGAGATGAAAGAAAAGAATGTGGAGCTATTATGAAGAATCTAGCTCTATCAGCTGAAACGCCAAGAACATCATAGGCCAAGTGCCTGCCATCAGGAAGAAGTATGCGAGAAGCACTAGGAGGATGATCACGCACCTTCATAATCGGTCGGCTAAAGCTCTCGTGTCTGTTATTTACACAGATTACTGCAAATAATAGTTAATTATTGCATCAGAGCTCTTTATCGAATCAAGAAAATACCACAGTTTCACGATTACCACTCATAACATACTTCCCGGTACCCACTAAGATTAAAATCAAGAGGAAAGATTACAAGATCTCCGCTCAATATTTGGTATGAAAATAATCAAAAGGAGAAATGTTTTAGTTGAAGCAATTTACAAAGAAAGAGTACTGTAATCTTCTGAATCAGAAATCGTCAATGAAAAAGGGAAAAAAAGAAGTTCAAAATCTGAACACACCTGTGAATGCGAGAATGGAAACAAAAAATATAACCGGCCAAGCATAAACGGGGTCGCGATCCTCCGGCAAAAACTCGTTAAGAAAACTCAATCTAGCAAGAACATTTGCGCAAGGTCCTCTAAGCTTTTGAGCAACATATGAATCCTCAGTAATCAAATTCTGCTGCACAATGTCCCTGCACCCTCTCCCTAATTCAAGAAGAATTTCACCCCATGCGACCGCAAATCCCTTAACCTGATCCTTCAAACTCTCCGACTCCTCTGATTCATAGTTCCGCGACTCGACCTGGAAATCCGATCTCGTACTCTCATACGAAGGTGAAGAAATTCCGATCGGCTCCGCCATGTAACGGATCCCGGAATCCTCCACCAAACTTGCAAATTCTTCGCTCCATGAGCTCGATCCTCTGATTTCCGACATCGGCAACTGAATACTCACTCCTTCAACCACTTCAGAGACATCAAACTCCGTCCAGCTACAGTGAGTGTGCCCACAGAATGTCTATAGCGTCAGAGTCACACATTCATCTATATATATATATATAGAGAGAGAGAGAGAGAGAGAGAGAGAGATTGTTCGTGTGAATTTGTGCTTTGCTTTAAGCGGAAAATTCCAGAGTAATAATGTCAAACCATCATATAACAGAACTAGAATCAATACTTTACAAGCGTGATAATGGAATCTCGTTTGTTCAACCACGTAAAAACCCTAGCCGAAACCGACCACCATTCAAAAGGAATCAAACTAATACACAAAACAATAAGCAATAAGAAAATACTTACTCAGAGATAAAGCCAAAAGCATCTCTGTTCCATGCTTAGCTTTCACTTTCCGACACTAAAATTTGCTGACCCTCTCTCTCCCTCTCTCTCTCGCATAACCTTTTCTTTTTTCTTGTGTGGGAATTGACTGGTTAACGCAATCCATTTCGTCATTACTGAGTGTTTATTAGCTTTCTTGCCGTCACCTGCTACGAATCCGACTAGACGATGAATGGAAACCGTCGATTGGCTCGTCTTTTGAGTGGCCATGAAAGCGACGTACACGATCTTTCCACGTCTCTAATTGCCGGATACCGGACTGGCCGGTACGTGGTGTGGACGGTTGCTGCGTACTGAAACATGATGGAGTGATGTGCGGGCAGACACGTGACGTGCCTGGGAATGTGCCTCTCTCTAAAACAAGTATTTACTAATT